GGGAGGGGGATCCTTGGCGGGGCAGTGGCTAAGACTCCATGCTTCTGATGCAGGGGGCGTGGGTTCAATCCCTGGTTGGGGAGCTAAGATCCCACATGCCATGCAGCATGGCTCCCCAAAAAATCCTCCTGGGAGCACAAAAGGGCAGGCACCAGTGGCCGGCTCTCCCTTGCCTGTCTTTCCTCCCAGGAGTTTACCCAACAGTCTGGTCTCCACTGCCTTGAACGCGTAACAGCTTTCCTCTGAAGGAAATGCTGATCCTGGAGGTTCTGGGGTGACCTCGCTTCACACGCACGCGGCCCCTTGTGCAGCCGCTGACCAGGCAGCTCTGAGCCCCGCTCCCAGCGGCCGCATGGTGTGCTCAGGGCAGGGGCCTCCCCTCTGGGGACAGCATCTCTGCAGAGCAGCAGCCTCTAACCAGCTCTTCTTTTTCCCCACCCCTTCCTCCTAAGGGTGAGCCTGTCGGCCACAGACTGTTACATTGTGCACGAGATCTACAACGGGGAGAACGCGCAAGACCAGTTTGAGTACGAGCTGGAGCAGGCCCTGGAAGCCCAGTACAAGTACATCGTGATCGAGCCCACACGCATCGGAGACGAGACAGCCCGCTGGATCACTGTGGGCAACTGCCTGCACAAGACCACCGTGCTGGCGGGCACTGCCTGCCTCTTCACCCCACTGGCGCTGCCCCTGGATTACTCCCACTATATCTCCCTGCCTGCGGGCGTGCTGAGCCTGGCCTGCTGCACCCTCTACGGCATCTCCTGGCAGTTCGACCCCTGCTGCAAGTACCAGGTGGAGTACGACGCCTACAAACTGTCCCGACTGCCCCTGCACACACTCACCTCCTCCACCCCGGTGGTGCTGGTCCGGAAGGACGACTTGCACAGAAAGAGACTGCACAACACGATAGCGCTGGCGGCGCTGGTGTACTGTGTAAGGAAGATTTACGAGCTCTGCGCCGTATGATCGGGGCAGCGTAGGGGGAGCAGGCAGCCCGGCCCGCGAGGTGGCAGAATGGAGCCCGGGAAGGCATCTGGCTGCACGTTGGTTATTTTAAAGAAATAACAGATCACAAGTGTACCAGGGGTTTTTTCAGCTCATCACACTAAGATGTGGATTCCCGTAACCCACGGGGGCCTGAGGCTGTGGAAGGCTGACCAGGCAGCAGGATGTGATGGAAGCAACGCTACTGAGGGGATGTGAACGCGCTTGGGGGGTCGTTAAGTATGTTGTTTAACTGTACCATCCAGAGCCAACCAGAAGCTATTGACCATTAAAATTATAAGAATTTCAACTCCAGGTGTCTGCTCTCTCCGTGACGATCCCGGTGGGAGCATGCAGGTGGCAGGAGGGGCACCACCTGTAGTGCGAACAGGCCTCTCGACAGGCAGGCCCAGCCCCTCCCAGAGCAGCCTCACGCCTTGGTCCAAGGCAGCGCAGCTCAGTGCCGCTCAGGGGTGTGGCAGGACAGGTAGGTGGCAAGGCCTGGCAGTCACTGGGTCTCCATTGGGCTCACCTGGAGAGCTGGGGCCTGGGACCTCTTGTCCAGATTCTGATTTAGGAGAACACAAACTAACGTGTATTTTTTTTAAAGCACTGAGGCTGTCCTGATGTGTCCCGAGTCCAACCTGCTTCCCCCGTCGTGTTCCACAGAAAAGGGGGCCATGCCGGCCCGAGACTCTGCTCTGTCATCCCTAAAGGGCACTTTTCTAAGCGGCAACCAGACTGACATTCACGTAGTTTTAAAGGATCCCTAAGGAAGATCAGACACCAGAGAGTAACAAGGGGTGCAAGGAAGGTGTCAAAAGGGTGTATGGGGGTGATGGGGCCATCTGTTCATAGGGGGAGAGCCAGAGATTTTAGAAGAGTGAGAAACTTTGACTTAATTCCAAGGGGCCTGGAAATGCTGGTCCCTCAGTTGGGTGCTGGGTGGCAAATGGTCTGGAACAAGGGTAAACTGGCAGTGATCCTAAACAGACCTATCTTGACCGTGCAGTGCCCACCACCCTCCTGAGCCTGCTGGGTAGGACTGGGAGGTGTTTCTGTAATAAACAGGCCAGATTTGGAAAGGGAGCCTGTGAGATCAGATTCATGGGTAAGGCAGCTGGAGACAGACCAGCTGTGGCCACCTTGGGGCAGCTGAGCAGAAGCTGTCACCAGAAACAAGCCAGGTGCGGATGGGCGGCTCCAGCACACTGAACGATGGGACACGTCGAGAAGCCAGTCACATGCTGACTGTTGGCCGCGCTGAACAAGATGGTGGGGGACCCTGTGAACGGTGTGAAGGCGGCAGCAGCCTTCTCCCCGAGCCCCCAGGGATGGGCTCTGCCCCCAGCGCTAGGTGAGTCAAATACGAGAACTGGGTCAGGTGACAGGATGTCTTCTGATCTCAAGACCCAAATTCAAAGGAGGCGTGGTTCTGCCTGCCCTCAGGGATCACAGCTCCACAGCTTAACCCTTTACTTCACATCCTAGAGTTTAGATCCAGCTGCATTTTACCCCTTCCCCCGGAGGAAGCCTGTCGTCCTCCAGCAGGACAGGCTGGGGGTCTGCGGGAGAGGCGTGACTCCCTCCCCTCCCTCCCCCGCCGCCCCACGAGGGAAGAATCCAGTACAGTCCACGCAAACACACCTGTCCCCGTGGAGCAGTGGTGCTGCCGCGCCACCTGCCCGGACAGGCACTAGCAGTGCTTGGCTTTCTGCTCCTTCCTGGCCCGGGAGGCCATGAGGCTAAAGAAGAGGCTGGGAGCCAGAGTCCGCAGGTAAACAGCCAGGGAAGGCGCCACGTCGGCCAGGACCACGTCCTTCTTTTTCTTCCCCACGGCAGCCAGCACGTCTCGGGCCACCTGTGAGGGGCTTTGGCCCTGGGCCGTGGTCTTGTCCATCACTGAAATGAAACGAGAGACTCACTGAGCTCGGGTTCGTGCCGAGTGAGGTCAGTCGTCAGTATATACGACCAACACCCACACGTCAAGTAGTTTAGTTTTAAACGTATTTTCTGAAAGGAAATGAAAACGACCACAGAATCATCAGGTAGCTTTGCGTAGAAGAAAAGCGACACCAGGGCCTAACCTCCATACTTGGACCCATGGGCCGTGACGGCGTTGAGGGAGAGGTTGGTGTGGATGTATCCGGGGCTGACGACGGTCACCTCGATGTCATGCTGCTCCACCTCGGCCCGCAGACAGTCGAAGAAGGCCTGGGCCGCGTGTTTGGAGGCCGCGTCTGCAAAGGTCGGTGGCCAGAGAGGCAGGTGAGTGAGGGGCAGGGACGCATTCGTTCCCTGAGTCAGAGGCGCCCGGCCTGGGCCCTGGACAGGTGCGGGGGTGTCAGGTCTCCTGCTCTCGTGTGGTTCAGGGAGAAACACTGTACATGATACACTGACATACAGGTACGCTCACACACGACATGACACAGTGCACATGGTCAAACGTGAACCACTGGGGATGTGTAGGAAGGGTGCATGGGTGTTCTTTGTACTGTTCCTGCAAGGTTTAAGTGTGAAATTAATCTAAATTAAAAGTTAAAAAAAAACAAACAATGCCTACTGGGTAAAATATTCAAATAGTTCAGGAGGAAATAAAGTAACCAAGTGAAAGTCCTCCTCGTGCCTTCCAGTACGGTTCCCCAGAGGGAGCCAGGCTGCCGGTTTCTCAGCATTTGTTTCTCACGTCAACCAGGTACCTACACGGGGTGCAACACAGAAGTCATATTTGTGCGGACATGGCCTCACGCTGTGCCTGTTTCCGTGTCATTCCTGCACGTAGCTCTCTCCAGCGGGGGACAGACGGGGCGGCTGCCATGCCCCTCGTGGTCACGGGCCACACTGCAACAGTGCGTCCAGGGAGGCTCCCTGCACGTGCAGGAGCGTGTGTACAAACCCACATCTGGCCTTCTCACGTCTTTTGTCTGACAGCTTCCACAGGATGGCCTTTCATCTGGAAGAGCAGTCCGGGCCCCCTCCGCTCCCCAGCAACAGCCTCTCTGCATGGCCTCAGGTGCTCTGAGGGGACAGAGGAACCCTAAGATGGCACTCCTGGGAAACAGCATCTCCACTGACGGTTTCCAGATTTGGAGTCCACACGTTCGAGCCTGAGGAAAGGGCATCCATCAGCCACGTAACTGTAGGTCCTGTGAGCAGCCCAGCAGCGTCCAGACTCTGCAGAGCCTCTGGAGGAGTGGCCTGGCCAAACGAATGCTCTGCGGGTGGGTGGCTAGAGACACGCTCCTACCAGCCGTGATTCCAGAGGCACGGCCCAGGCTGAGGCCCGAGAGGATTGAGCCACCTGGGGGCCTCCCTGACCCCCTGTCTCCACGGCTCTTGGGCTGTATGTAGGTCCTCGGCCAGGCCGTGCTAACCTAAATGCTGTGACTGTGGTCCCCAGGGCTCCACGTGCTCTACACACATCCTGGATCCTCCCACTTGGCCTCACAACAGCCCCAAGAGGTACACGAAGCCACCCCCACTTCCAACGTGCCCAGGAGGCACCGCCTCGTCCAGCCTGGTGGTTATAAAGCACCCAGAACAACCAAGTGTGACCTACGCAGTCACAGCCAAGGGGAGGACAAAACTCAGTGGGACTAAATCCAAGTGAAGTTTGGAAATAATTCAGTACAAGAACACTTGACAAAGAACTCCTTTACCCTGTATATCCTTTTTCCTATTATTGCCTCATCTGCTCTGTCACGTGTGATGCCTGCATATCTATTCCTCAGGAGGCTGCCCTGTGCCAGTGAAGTGAAAGAGAAAACTGGCACAGGGAAATAACCGCCCCAGAAACAAGCACGGATACGGCGGGTGTCTCACATTGTCTTGAGCACGGCCGTGGAGACTGTCTGATGACATGAGGGGGCAGTGCGGGCTCAGACGAGTCCCACAGCTGACCCAGACACACAGCCAGCACCAGGAGGGTGGCCGCGCTGTGTTCGGGCTGACAGGTGGTTCCCAGTCGTCCAGCTGGGTGTGCGTGGCCGTCCTTTCACGGTGTGGAGGCGGCATCGCCCCTCCCCTCCTTTCCCGTGGCTACGTTGAGCATCTGGAGAGGGGGAGACTGTTACAGCTGAGTGTTTCCTTGCAGACGGTGGAGCAAAGAATGCAGGTCCCAGGACAGTTTGTGAAATCACCTTTCAAATCTTTTAACAAAAGCAGAATCTGCTTGCTGGTGCTCGTGATGGCGCAATCTCAACATTCTGGCGTAGCCATTCACGCAGGGAGGTGAGAGTCGGGACTGAAGTCAGGCTGGCAGCGTTAATTTTTTGGTCCTATGTCCACTTTTTGGAACTAATCTTACTGAAACCCTCCCACGAGAGCCCAGAGATACAAATACTGAAGGATGCTGTACACAGCACATCGCTGCTACTGGTCACCGACTGAAGGGACGCAAATCCTCACGTGTCACAAAAACAACTAAGGAAATGATGCCACATCCATTCGATTATTGACTGTATATCCACTTAAAGGAACTAGGTAAATCCATATGTGCTGATGCAGAAAGATACTGTCAAATGGAATAAACGAACCCCAAAACTACGTATAACATGGCCCAGTTTTGCACATTTGATCCCACGTAGAAGAATTCTGCAGGCACGTGCGGTAAAGTGGTGGCAGGGCAGCACCTGTGGGCCGACACTCGGGGAGCACAGCACGGGGGCCACGGTGCGAGGTCACACGTGGCATGAGGAGCAGAGCTGGGGCTGAGCCCAGGCCCCTGCTCAGGAGCACATGCTGATGACGTTCCTGCACGTTCTGTGCTGAGTGTTTCTCTAACGCCTGAATTCTGGACAGTAAACGTGTTGTTTTTATAATAGGGAGCAAAGAATAAAGGGAGCGTGGGAAGGAGAAGGAAGTACTCACACGCGGATCGGAAGGGAACGCTGATTTTGCCCTGGATACTGCTGATGGCGACAACGTGGCCCTGGCGCCTTCTGATCATAGAGGGCAGGAGCGCTGTGGGGAGAGGGCAGAGGTCACTGCAGCTCATGCTGAGAGCCCGGGGAGGGGGACTGTTTACTGGAACTCTTAGCCCCCTGCGCCCAGGAGGGGAGGGAAGGCCTCTCCCTGGAGTGCGAACCGTGGCTGGACGTCAGAATGCCCCACCCTGTAGGTGTGCAGACACAGTGGAAAGACATGGAGCCAACACTGTGCAGCTGAGGCTGTTGCTGAGGAGAACATCTAGACGTAAGACCATAAAGCAGTGGAAGAAAATGCAAATAAAAGCCCAGAAAAGCCAACACCCAGGCTGTAAGGACACCACTGACTCCAGGGTCAAAGGGATGGGACAGGCCAGGTCTAGGAAGAAGGAACCAAGGGAAATACAAAGAATGCCGACGTACCTGTGCTCATCCTTCCTTTTCACCCAAGACCGTTACCTTTCGTCAGGGCAACTGGACCAAAGTAGTTTGTCTCCATGACTCTCCTGTCCACGTCTAGGCTGGTGTCCAAAATGGTGCCACGGTAGCTGATCCCGGCGTTGTTGATGAGCACATCCACATAGCCAAAGCACTGCAGGATCTCTGCAGCGGCCCCCACTATGGCCCCAGGGTCCGTGAGGTCGAAGGTCACCGTGTAAGGCTTGTGAGTCTGCACCTGGGCAAGAACGACAGAAGCCAAACGTAGCTTCAGAGCGACGGGCGTGGAAGCCACAGGCCCTGCTTCTCAGTGCTGGGAGGGCCTGGCCGTGAAGGGACAGGTCACAACACTTCTCCTCTGAAGGATGTGACCTGGAGGAGCCTGCCAACCCTGCTCATACCTCACTTGGGCAGCCTTTCTCAACTGACTGTAAATGCCATGGGGCAGGGGTCACGTACGATGGAAGCATGGCTCCCCTTGCCGCCCTGTGCCAGCCTGGCGCTGCACCGTCCTACGTCACAGAGCTACTATCCTTCTCAGGCCAAATCAGTTTCATTCTTCAGTCACAAAACTTTTTTTTTTTTTTGCGGTATGCGGGCCTCTCACTGCTGTGGCCTCTCCCGTTGCAGAGCACAGGCTCCGGACGCGCAGGCTCAGCAGCCATGGCTCACGGGCCCAGCTGCTCCACGGCACGTGGGATCTTCCCGGACCAGGGCACAAACCCGTGTCCCCCGCATCGACAGGGGGACTCTCAACCACTGTGCCACCAGGGAAGCCCCACAAAACATTTTTATATGCCCCTATAGGTTCAACACTGGGGACGTGGCAGAAAGCAAGACAGACGTGCTTCTGTCCTCCTAAAGCACGCAGTCTTGTGGGGGAGACAGACAAATTCTGTAATTGAAGAGAATGACTAGCCAAGCAGTCTAACTCAGGGGCTGTCGCAGAATCTAAGAAGATGAGGGAGGGGATGGAGTCAGAGGCAGCACGGAGAAGGAAGTGCCTGGAGCCCTCCCTCTGCCTGGACAGCTGCACTGGCAGCAACTCTCCGGAGTGAAATGACATCATGACTCAAGTCTGTTTGAACGCTTGAAGCTTCCAGGGGGGTGCTCGGCTGGCAAAGTATAGACAATTTTGGCCAATTTCAACCATTAGCTCCATGGTGGCCCCACCCCTGTGGTGGGCAGCTGTGGGAAAGGCAACCCTTTCTCTTGCAGCTTGAAGGAGCCAAGGTAGACAACAAGGACCTTGTCTTCCACATATCAGGACTGCATTCTGATGGTGGATGCTATTCTGATCACCGAGCTGCAGCATGGAAGCAGCCTGCACTCTTTTAACCACCACCTGCTGAAGTGGCTTCCAGTAGGTTTAATGGAGTTGCACTTGCCTTCTGGTATTCAAAAATGTAGATAAATCCCCAGAAAAACATTCCTCAAGAAGCCCAGACAATTAACTGACTAAAACAACTGTCTTAAAGTTGTTCAAAGTGCTAAAGGAAGATGTGGACAAAGGCAGGAAACTGATGTATAACAAAATGAGAATATCACTAGAAACAGAAATTATTAAAAAATTCTGGAGCTCAAAAGTACAATAACTGAAATGAAAAATACACTACAGGGATCCAAAGGCAGATCTGAGCAAGAAGAGAGAATCCATGAACCTGAAGAGGGGACAACTGAAATTCTCAAATCTGAGAATAAGAAAAATGAAGAAAAGTGAGCAGAGCCTAAGGGATCTGTGAGACACCACCAAATGGACCAACACACTCCTAGTGGGAGTCTGAGAAGGAGAGAGAGAAAGGGGCAGAGAAAACACGGGAAGAAATAACTACTGAAAAAGTCCCAAATTTAATGAAGGACATGAATCTACACATCCAAGAAGTTCAACACCAAGTAGGATAAACTCAGAGACCCGCACTATGACACATCACAATCACAGCCAAGTGACAGAGAATCTGAAAACTGCAAGAGAGAAACTACTCCTCACATAAAAGAAATCCTTACTATCAGCTGATTTCTCATTAGAAACCTTGGAGGCCTGAAGACAGTGGGTTGATATATTCAAACTGCTGAAAGAAGAAAAATGTCAACCAAGAATTCTATATCTGTGTTCTATAATGTCAAAAATGAGGGAGAAATTAAAGTTCCCATATAAATAAAAGCTGAGGGAGTTTGTTACCACTAGACATGCCCTGTAAGAAGTGCTAAATGAGGTCCTTCAGGTTTTAAATGAAAGGAAGCTATACGGTGTAACTCAAAGCCATTTGAAGAAATAAAGATCTCCAGGAAAATAAATACATGGGGAATTATAAAAGCTAGTAGTATTGTAACTTTGGATTGTAACTCTACTCTTTATTTTCTACATAATTTGACAAATGCATTTTAAAACTATTATTAATCTATGTTACTGGGCAAACAATGTATAAAGATGTAATCTATGACATGAATAGCAGAAATGGGGGAGGACAGAGTGGAGTTTCTGTGTGCTATTGACATTAAGTTGGTATAAATTCTAATGAGATTGTTACAACTTCAGGATATTCAATGTAATCTCCATGATAATCACATAGAAAATAGCTATAGAATATACACGTAAGGAAATGAGAAGGGAATCAAAGCATTTCACTCAAAAAAAAAATCAACTAAACACAAGAGAGTAATGCAGGAAATGAGGAACAAAAAAGCTACAAGACATATAGAAAAATAATAGCGAAACGGCAGAAGTCCCTCCTAAATAGTAATTACTTTAAATGTAAATAGTTTAAACCCTTTAATCGAAAGACTGATTGGCAATTAAAAAAAAAAAAAAAACACCTAACTATAAGATGTCTTTTATTTTGCAGTATGCGGGCCTCTCACTGTTGTGGCCTCTCCCGTTGCAAAGCACAGGCTCCGGACGCGCAGGCCAAGCGGCCATGGCTCACGGGCCCAGTCGCTCCGCGGCATGTGGGATCTTCCCGGACCGGGGCACGAACCCGCGTCCCCGGCATCGGCAGGCGGACTCTCAACCACTGCGCCACCAGGGAAGCCCCTCAATAACATATCTTTAACATATCTTTGCATCTTAGGGAAACAGAGCAAATTAAACTCAAAGTTAGCAGAGGAAGGAAAGCAGATTAGAAAGAAGATAAACAAAATATAGGGGACTTCCCTGGTGGTCCAGTGGTTGAGACTCCACACTCCCAATGCAGGGGGCCCGGGTTCTATCCCTGGTCAGGGAACTAGATCCCACATACTGCAACTAAAGATTCCACACACGGCAATAAAGATCCCACACACGGCAACTAAAGACTCGGCGCAGCCGAATATATAAATAAAATAAAATATTTAAAAACAAAAATATATATACAGAGAATAGAAAACAAAGAAAATGAATGAAATCACAAGTTGGTGTTCTGAAAAGATCAACAAAATTGAGAAACCGTTAGCTAGACCAAAGAAAAAAGAAAAGATGCAAGTAACTAAAATTAGAACTGAAAGTGGGACCTTACATAGATAAAAAAGATTATAAAAGAATACTATGAACAACTGTATGCCAACAAATTAGATAACCTAGAAGAAATGGACAAATTCCTGGAAACACACAAATTACCTAAACTGAGTCAAGAAGAAACAGAAAATCTCAGCAGACATGTGACAGGTGGAAATTGAATCAGTAACCTAAAACCTCCCAACAAAAAATATCCTGAATCAAATTCACTGGTGAATTTTATCAAATTTTAAAGAAGAATTAACACCAATACTTATACTCTTCCAAAAAACTGGAGGAGGGACTTCCCTGGTGGCGCAGTGGTTAAGAATCCGCCTTCCAACGCAGGGGACGCGGGTCTGATCCCTAGTCAGGGAACTAAGATCCCACACGCCACGGAGCAACTAAGCCTGCACGCTCTGGAGCCCGCGCAATGCAACGACAGATCCCGCATTACACAACTAAGATCTGGCGCAGCCAAATAAACAAATGAATATTTAGAAAACAAAAAACCAAAGAAACCCCGAAGAGGAGAAAACACTTACTGATCCATTCTGTGAGGCCAGCATTACTCTGATACCAAGGCCAGATAAAGACACCACAAGAAAATTACAGACCAAATTCCTTTATGAATATCGATGCTAAAATCCTCAACAGAATACTAACAAATCAAATTCAACAGCATATTAAAAGGATTATTCATCATGAACAGGCTAAATTTATCCTAGCAATACAAGGGTAGTTTACCGTAAGGAAATCAATCAGTGTAACCCACCACATTAATAGAACAAAGGGGGAAGGACCACGTAAGCATCTCAACTGACGCAGAAAAGAGATCTGACATAATCCAACACCCTTTCATGATAAAAACTCTCAGAAAACTAGGAACAGAGGGGAAATTCCCCCAAGGTGTTTATGAAAAACTTACAACTAACATGTCCAGTGGCGTAAGACTGAAAGTGCTCCACTGTGCTCCAGAACAAGACAAGGATGTCTGCTTTCACTGCAGCTATTCAGCAGAGCTTGTTGTTCTAATCGGAGCCATTAGACAAGAAAAGGGATAAAAGGCACCTCAACTGGAAGGGAAATGTTAAATGTCATCTTAACTTTTAAAATGTTAAAAGTCATCGCCAGTCTCCCGGCTACCATCGCCAAGAGGTGAACAGGTATTAGCGGAGACACGGGGGAGGAAGAAAGCACTCACAGAGGGGCCTCCCTAAACTCGCGGCACTGCGCAAGTGGTGGATTTGAGCCCAGCTGGCCGACCAGGGCCACAGCTCTTCCCCACGAAAACCACCCCTGGGCTCACCTCAGTAGCCCGGGAAGCAGCAAGTTCTCGGGTGAGCGCCTCCAGGGCCTCGGCGTTCCGGCCACAGAGCACCAGCTTGGCACCGGCAGCGTGGAAAACTCTGGCACATTCTAGAGGAAGAAGAAAGCAGCGTGGCAGCTGGGGAGGCCCAGGCCTTCACCGTCAGCTCAGCTCCCAGCTCCCCAGCCCCAGACCATGGGGCTACTTGTTCCCCAGCCATCGGCACCGGCCCGCCGTGGAAGGCTGTGGGGCAGGGTTAGGGGCCCGGCACAGGGAGCTCTGCTGTCACCACTGCAGAGCCCACGTTCGGGGCTGTGACAGACGTCCACGGGCAGGAGGAAGGCAGCAGCTGGGGGACAGACTGTTAGGTACCAGGCTCAGAACTTTCCAGCATAACCTTTAGCTCTGATCCACCCTGCGAGCAGTATCCCCACTTTCATGGCGAGGAGCTCAGTGAGGCAAGGGATGTGCCCAACGGTCAGGCAGCGCCAGCTCGGGGATGCCGTCACCTCAACGCAGCAGGCACGTACCTGCCGGGGCTGCTTCTCTGGTTCTGTGGACGCATGGGGGACACAGGACTCTGGTGAGAAGGGGCGGAGAGGCTCCCCCGAGGCCTGAAGCCGGCAGACTGTTCCTCCCGAGAGTACACAGGCCTGAGGGTTCCTGGACACACGCAGCGGGGACAGGACATGGGGAGGCTGACAGCCTTGCGAGGAGGTTAAAGAGCTAAAGTATGCCGAGCGCCCGCGCAGCAGGGTGGCATCATTTTTTTTTGGCTGTGTTGGGTCTTTGTTGCTGCACGCGGGCTTTCTGTAGTTGCGGCGAGCGGGGGCTACTCTTCGTTGCGGTGCGCGGGCTTCTCATGGCGGTGGCTTCTCTTGGTGCGGAGCACGGGCTCAGTAGTCGTGGCTCTAGGGCTTAGTTGTTCCGCGGCATGTGGGATCTTCCCGGACCAGGGCCTGAATGCGTGTCCCCTGCATTGGCAGGAGGATTCTGCACCACCAGGGAAGTCCAAGGGTGGCATCATTTTAAAAGGTTCCCTCCTGCTGGGGGTTCCTCTGAGTCACTACAGCATCCAGGTGACAACTGACGAAGGCCATGGCGGGGGAGTCCAGAACTATCTGGGCACCTCTCTTAGTCAATATTCTTTGGTGGCAAGAAAACAGACTCAAGTCACCCGGGGCAAAGCAAAAAGAGGATTTATCAGGATTCCAGGGTAGCTCAAGAATTCAGGGAAGGAGCTGAATGGTTCAGATGGGAAGGACAGGAGTGGTGGTGGCCCAGGGTCCTGGGCAGCAGG